TTTTTTTTTTTTTTTTTTTGTTTCTACTTTCTAGAACCACTCAGCCAGCATGTAGAATTTTAAAAAAATATACAAATTGCAACAAAAAGAACATGGATATATGTAGAAGGAAAAGCTATTAGATTTAAATATCTTATATTACTACGAGATTACGAACGCTTTCGTTAATCATATCTATAACGTTTAGCGCTTGACATGTTGCCAAGAGATGTTCATAATAGTACGTATTGTCATCTAATTAAAATTTAGAAAATTGTATCACTTTCTGATATTCTCAACCCTTAATGTAGTATTTTATGGACAACGATAATAAAAAATCGAGTGATACTTTTTAGCTTGACATTTGCTCTCATACCAAAAGTAAGGAATAATGGAGTATGTTATCGAGAGAGGAAACCAATTTTAAATATGAAATAACACGGCGAAATCAATTCACAATGTAGAGGCTAAGAGAAAGCCCGATCAACCAATTTCCTATTTTCACGGACATGTATCTTAATTTTTAGGTAGGTTCATGGACCACTGATTAGTCAAATGAGTTCCTCTCTCCGATCTATCATGTGTTGGTCTTTTTATGCTATTTTTAAAGTATTCGTATCTAGATGATGAAAAAGCAAAAGCCACCCTACTGATAAGAGAGCAACGCGTGATTTGTAATGCGATTATGCTATAGATAAAAAACTAGTATTCATGCGGAGAAGGATAGAAAGGAGAGCCCACTATTCATTTGAGTTGTGAAATTATATCTTTATAATAATAATAATAATAATAATAATAATAATAATAATAATAATAATAATAATAATAAGAGATAATTTCAGAGACACGCTTTAAGGTTTAACTTTGCAACATTTATCTCTCTTACGGTTCACAATATAACACATATCTCCCTTATTTTAATTGTTAACGGTTCATAATATAACACATACTTAATAGAATTAATATAACTTTTTTTAATTTTCTCATTAAACCAAAACACTTAACACCTTGTAAAATAGAAATATAGTCAAACTAATATTTGTGTATAACTTCCAAAAATTAAGGAGATAAGTATGCTTTTAAAATATAAGGCATGTATCTGCAACGAAGTGATACTACAGGGTTATTTAGTGCTTTTCTTAAATTTCTCTTTTGCCGAACTTCTTCAAATTAACCCTTCCCCGATTTTTCACTTATAAAATCAGTGTGTATAGAAGAGCTCTGCAATTGCACTTTTCCAAGTTCCAATGGATCCTCTCAATTCCTACGCATCCTCGGCGGCGATGGCGCAGCAAACCTGGGAGTTAGAGAACAACATCGTGACAATGGACGCGCCGTCGGGTTCGACACCGGAAAATTTGGCGTCTGACGCCATATTCCACTACGACGAGGCGGCACAGACGAAGTTCCAGCGGGAGAAACCGTGGGCGAGTGACCCTCACTTCTTTAAGCGCGTGAAGATCTCTGCTCTCGCGCTTCTCAAGATGGTCGTTCACGCGCGTTCCGGTGGTACGATTGAGGTGATGGGACTCATGCAGGGTAAGACTGATGGCGATGCGATTATTGTCATGGACGCTTTTGCCCTTCCCGTTGAAGGCACTGAAACTAGGGTTAATGCTCAAGCTGATGCCTATGAATATATGGTCGAGTATTCACAGACCAACAAGCAGGTTAGTGCCTTTTAAATTTTTAATAATATGTAATTTGGTTCATAAGCCTATTGGCCATGTCATGATATTATTCTTTGTTTCCTATATATGCATAGTTAATCTCGGGGGCCTCTGTGGAATTGATGTAATTCTCTTTTTTCCTATTGATGTTTTATTAATGTGGTGGAAAATTTTCTGAATATGTGCTATATAATAGTAGAGAACCTATGACAGGAGCCTCATGGGTGCGCCAAAGATTAACTAAAACAAAATGTCCTTATTTCATGCTACTTAGAATACTGTCAAGGTTAAATTAAGGCTTTTCCTTAAGGGTTGTGTGGCATATTGACAGAATCTCATTAATGGAAGTTGTTCCATGTGAAATTAAGTGGAAATATTTTTAGTGGAGAAGAAAATCATGTTACATTGTTTAAAAATTAAGGTTTAATTCCTTGGTATGCTATTATTTCTAATCTGTTTATCAACCTACATAATATTTGTAATTTTCTCTTAAGAAATAATAAGAGATATGATCATTGTGATCTGTGTGTGATGGATCTTATTACGTAAGAGTGGCCTCCATGGTTATAAAAGAAAAAGGTGTACTCCACTATTTGATTCTAGATCAGGATGCTCCTACAAACAGATTGTTGTTTGGTATTTGAAGTTAATAGTGTTTAATCTCGCCAATTACATGTTAGCATGCTCATGCCATTGCTTCGGAATTGCATCTTAGGGCACTCCTTAGTGATTCTTTGGTCATAGCCTGCTATTAGTCTGTAGTACATTGCGTAGGTTTCCATCATCGTGTTAGTACATGCCGTTAAGCCAAAATTTGTCATTTTGAGAATAGAGTGGCCTCTCTTGATTGGTTCTTAAGTCTTTGATCCGGTATCTATGGCAACTGTTGTTTACCAATCTTGGGGACATACCACAGATTCTTGCTCATGTGCCATGGTTTCACATGCATTTTTTGGAGAATCATCAGCAAAAAGTCAATTATTACAGATGACCTATTGCTTCATATGTGTTTCTATAAGTATTTATGTGGAGCTTCTACTTGTATTTATAAATACCTCTGTCTATATCAGGAGTTAGTAACCTTGCAGTTTATTAGAGCTTCTGGTCAAAGATCTTCCATTGGTCACGGAATTCAATCTTGTTGCACCTAGAAATTCTTTTGAGTTGCTTAAATTTAGGCTGTGTGCATTTGTATATAGGATTTTCTGCATTGTGTCTCAATTGATTTCTCAGTTGGAAGGTTGTGGATGTAGTTTGTTCAGACCATTCTCTNGTCTCAATTGATTTTCTTAATTGGAAGGTGCTTGTGGATGTAGTTTGTTCAGACCATTCTCATACTCAGTTTTTGGTATAGGCTGGTCGGCTGGAAAATGTGGTTGGGTGGTACCATTCTCATCCTGGTTATGGATGCTGGCTCTCTGGCATTGATGTTACCACACAAATGCTTAACCAGCAATATCAGGAGCCCTTTCTTGCAGTTGTTATTGATCCAACAAGAACTGTTTCTGCTGGAAAAGTTGAGATTGGTGCCTTTCGAACATATCCAGAAGGATACAAGCCTCCAGATGATCCCATCTCAGAGTACCAGACCATTCCGTTGAACAAAATCGAAGACTTTGGAGTACATTGCAAGCAGGTTGCCTCTTTGGCATGGCCACATGCACTCACACATATATGTTTAAACCTTTGACTGTTAGCTCACCAGTTTTTCTCTTAATTTGCAGTATTATTCATTGGATATTACGTATTTCAAGTCCTCTCTTGATTGCCATCTCTTGGACCTACTATGGAACAAGTATTGGGTGAACACGCTTTCGTCTTCTCCTTTGCTTGGAAATGGAGACTATGTTGCTGGACAGATATCTGATCTTGGTAATATTATTGTTGCTTAATATATCCACTTTCTATTATTATCAGAATGAATTGATGGTTGGATATAAGTTTCCACTTTTGAAACACCTCGAAATTAGTTGACCCCATTAAATCATGCAGCTGAAAAGCTGGAGCAAGCTGAAAATCAACTGTCTCATTCACGTTTTGGCCCCTTAATGGCGCCCCCTCAAAGGAAGAAAGAGGTATTTTCTTTTTTGTGTTGTCTTGAGTCTTGACAATTCATACCTTAAATTACATGTCTATTTCTTACTTTGTTTGAGAATATTGGTTTGGCAGTTCTTTACTATTTTGGATTTGAATCTCTTTGGCATGTGATTCCTATTCGAAGATATCAAACTTTGTTACTGTGTGGCGTATTAGGCCCTCTTGATCATATTTTGCTGGGCTATGAAACTGCTTATAACTAAAATGTGCCAGGATATGCTAAGGGAACTCAATATAAACCTGCCTCCAATAGTACATATTCATTTGATTTGATTGTTATATTCATTTTCTTTTCTTCTTGTGCTTGATGGAGAGTTTGCTATAACTTAGAAACTGGAGCACCTAACATGTGCTTATAAAGAGAAACTTGGAGAAAGTAACCAAAGAAGAGAAGAAAAAGGAAGGGTACGTTGTGTATTTAAATGTGGAACTATGATTAGCTGTCAGTTGATTGTGGTTTAGGTTCATGCAAATCTCAGCCATTTGTATGTGGAACTCTTAGGAAAAGGTGAAAAGGCCAAGAGTTGATGAACAAAGAGTTCTCTTACTACTTTAGCAGAAGATATAAAAAAAAGTATAGTGGCCAGAGAAAGTTTCCTACTCGTGTGATTAATGTGTTTCAAATATCGTTCCGAAGAGAAAACTAGTTCATTGTGATAACTAGTGTTAGATGAGCGGTTAATCTGACAGAATATTAGTCTTATAAAATTATGATTTAATATATCATATTATTTTAATAAATATTAGTAGTTGTTATTTAATATAGTGTACTAAAATATAATAAAATCTATACAAAATCAAAAGATACACATTATATAGTAATCAAATAAATAGTTTGTTCCTTATTTATTATTTATTA